AACTAATTGTGCAAACAATATACAGGAAGAAATGGAGGTTGATTGGCTGGCCATACTCTGAGAAAAGGACCCATCAAGTGACTGGCATCACTAGACAAGCCATTGCTCGAGTGGAACTCGACGGAATGGGAAGTGGCGAGTTGGTTGTCAATTCGAATGTGACATGGAATGGAGAACGTGATGTGAAGAGGAGATGAAATCATGTGGGCAGACGTGTAGCCAGGGGAGAAAACTCTAGCCGAGAACCGAACGCAATGGAGACTTGGGCGGCTGAAGCCCATGTTCCTCTAGGAATTAAAAGAAATAATAAAAATAATACGCACACATATAGGTATATATAATTCATGTTACCCTGGGGGGGTGGGGATATTTGAATTTCAGTGCTGGTCTGAATGTATTCATCTTTGTGTGTGTGGAGATGTATCGATCGCAATGCATCGCACAGCACTGGCTCTAAGTAACTCATTCACTCATTGGGTTTTGTGATTAGGGCTAATTAAAAAGGCGCGCCAGGTGAGGATGAATTTGAATCCTGATGCATCGACTTCATTCATTCAGTCAGTCAGTCAGTCTGGCTGGTCAACTGAGTAGTAGAAGTATGATTAACCTTCACATGATTCATAGATGGGGCTCTTGGTCTGTCTGCTACACTAGAAAAATCCCTCCTCTGGGTAACTGAGATTTTTGTACATACAAACAGATCAATAAACAAAACAACGTTGTTGTTGTTCCTTTGGGTTCCTAGTGTGGAACATAGGGCTTCAACTGCACGTCTCCACTTGCCACTTCTGTCTTCTGCTGCTGTACTTTTCACCTGAGTCATCCATGTTACTCCATACTGTTTCAACTCCTCTTCACACGATCTCCTCCTCCACGTCACCCTTGCACTGACTACCCACCCGCCGCTTCCCTTTCGGACTCCACTCGAGCAATGGCCTGACGCGCGCGTGATGTCATCCCACGCGGCCTCCTCAGTGAGTGTCCAATCCATCTCTCCACTTTGTTGTTTTTGGACGATTGGTTCTTGTTTCGTTTGTTTGTTTGTTCCCATAGTTTCTTGTTGTTGGTGATTCTTTCTGACCCCGGCCCAGCCCGGCCATCTGATCTCCAGTATAGATCCAGCGAAGACAGTTAGTTGTTGTTAAAGGTAACGTCTGCAACAGGCTGTTGGTGGAAATATTCTTTGTGACCGCCCCGCCAAGTTTCTGATCCGTATAGAAGAGCTGACTGACTTGACGTGTTTGTATTGAAAATCCGACCAACGGAAATTTGTTGTTGATGTTGGCTGAGTGACGAAGATTTCCAGATTGGTTGTTTCAGGTTGATGAGTGAATGTGTTTCTCGCTCCCCCCTACCCGATTCTCGATTTTACATCCCCGTCCGTTCCGACTGCCTATAAGTGAGACAATGCTCCCTAGATAAGCAGTGAATGAAGTGTAACCTCTTTCAAATCCCTCCCGTTGATGGTGATCGGAACCAAACAACGTACACAGTAATATCGATTCACCTTTATCTACTGACAGCAAGAATACGCTTGAATGATAGCTTGTTTTTGCTTTCTTCAACTATTTTCTTTATAATGTGTGGTTTTGAGAAAAACAGTTGTTTGTGTATATCACTGAGTGAGTGAGTGAGGGAGTGAGGTATGGAGTGAGTGAGTAAGTGAGTGAGTTGGTGAGGGAGTGAGTGAGCGAGTGTGTGTGTGTGAAGGAGTGAGTGGTTGAGTCGGTGAGTGAGGGAGTCAGTAAGGGAGTGAGTGAGTGAGTGATTGAGTAAGGGAGTGAGTTAGTGAGTGAGTGAGTGAGTGAGTGAGTGAGTAATTGAGTGAGTGAGTGAGTTAGTGAGGGAGTGAGTGAGTGAGTAAGTGAGTGAGTGAGTGGGGAAGTGAGTGGGTGAGTGAATGAGGGAGTGAGTGAGTGTGGGAGGGAGTGAGTGAGTGAGTTAGTGAGTAAGTGAGTGAGTGAGTGAGTTAGTGAGGGAGTGAGTTAGTGAGTGAGTAAGTGAGTGAGTGAGTTGGTGAGTGAATGAGGGAGTGAGTGGGTGAGTGAGGGAGTCAGTAAGGGAGTGAGTGAGTGAGTGTTTGAGTAAGGGAGTGAGTTAGTGAGTGAGTGAGTGAGTGAGTGAGTGAGTGAGTAAGTGAGTGAGTGAGTGAGTAAGTGAGTGAGTGAGTGGGGAAGTGAGTGGGTGAGTGAATGAGGGAGTGAGTGAGTGTGGGAGGGAGTGAGTGATTGAGTGAGTGAGTGAGTGATTGAATGAGTGAAGGAGTGAGTGAGTGAGTGGGTGAGTGAGGGATTGAGTGAGTGAGGGAGTGAGTGAGTGATTGAGTGACAAATAAGAAACACGAAGCGAAGAGTTGATTTGAGCTGATTATATTCGCCAGTGAATCACCTACACAGTTCTTCAAAGTTGTCATTCCACTCGTTGTAATTTGCTTTGAGAAATCGTCATATTCAGATCACATATGCGTCCCACCACTTTAGGCAGGCATTGTGACAGAACAGAATATAATTCCATGCTAACTGTATCTGACTGTGATAATACTGCTAAGATTATACTTTTTTATTGCTGTTGTCGCTTCGCTTCCTGGTGTGAATTATTTTCCTTTTGCTGGTGTTGTCCTGATTGCTTTATTCCTTGTTTTGCTGATTTTACGGGGAGCAACCCACAAGTTTGCTTCTTTGTAAACTCTATTATAATATAAAAACCCTCTTATCAGGTGTGAGGCTGGCAACTGCACGCTGTGTGAACAAAGTTCCTACAGGAACCTTACCACCGTTCAGAGGTGGTCAACAGAGTCTAGTCACTAGACAAAGCCTCAAGGACGCAATTAATAGAACCTATTATGCAGCTAAACTTATCTTCATAAAGAAAACGAGAACTATGCTGCCTCACATTATCCGAACAATAGTGTCACATCCCACTGTGTTTATCAATTTACATGTATGTGTGCAGGGAGACATGTACACAGGGAGGATCCATCGGTCTCTGCAGGTTAGGGGGCTACAGAATACATTCCAAAGCGGCTGCAACAACAAATGAAATCGCCAGACACAACTGACCCCGGAAATAGATGTCCAACATTATCTATAGAGAGATGGGTCATAAGGTTGATTTCAACAATACCTTTAAGCCTATATAGAAAATAAGGTTGGGTCACATACTTAAATTGATTGAAGCCTTAGCCATAAAAGTGCGTCAGTGGCATAGCGGTTAGCACGCTCGCCGACCATGCACATGGTCCGGGGATCGATTCCCGGCCGGTGCACTCCTTTATCTCGCTAAGCCAGAAATAATCCTGGTAAAAAGCAAAGGTTGGGCATGAGGCTAGCAACCTCATCCTGTAAAATAAACGCTGCTACAGAAACTTCAAGCCACTAGCTTGAAGCCCTATGTTCCAATGGGAACGTGAAGGAAAAATTTATTATTATTATTAGCCATAAAAAGACTTCAACCTGTCTGTCTTATGTGTTGAAAAGTTTTTTGTTATCACCTTCAACCTGCCTTGATAATCCAAGTTAGAATCAAGGACCGATTTACTTCATAAAGTTTTCAACCCCTTCCTTGCTTTGTTTTTCTCCTTTTATCTTTCTTACCCACACCATTGCGTCATCTCCCTACCCATTATTTGTCACCCTGACCTGTACACAATCTGACCTGTATTGTAATTATTCATGCCTTCTTGCCTTCTATAAAAACTGTGTATGCCAAGTACTCGTGTGCGTGTGCGTGAGTGTGTGTGTGTGTGATGAGAATGTCCGAAATGTGTTTCAGATAAAATACGTCTTCTTATTGTGTTGTCGAAACACATGCATACACTCACTTACTTACTTTACTTTACTTCGGATATCTCCTACAGGAGGATGAGTCGGCTTCATGAACATCTCGAATCATCGCTGCCCAGGCGCGGCGATCTGATGCATGGTTTTCCCACAGCCTTATCCAATTCTTGTTCCACAGACGGAGTCCGTAGACGGTTTGTAGCCCCAGCCCAGTCACTCCATATCAGCCTTGACTGACTGTACCAAGCCATGTGTTTTCAGCTGTCCACCCCTCCGACATATCTCCAAGATGGAAATGACGTGGAGGGATTTAGAAACGATTTCATTGACCAGATCGTCATCTGGTCGGCCCGGCCCAGAACATGGCCAAACCACCGAAGGCCACGTTGTTCGACCAGTACTGGTTGATGTTGTAGCAACGACGACAGTTGATGAAGTTTCATGGGAATTAGGTACAAGTGATGTCCCCAGAATCGCTCGGCCTTTTGTTTGAGAGTGCAGCTCTAACCTTTACACAACCAACCAAGTGTGACCTCCTAGAAGGCAGTAGGAGTAGAGTAGGGAGTCGACTATCCATTGTCAGCCAGCCGGTGACCGGAGTCCGGTTCATACGCCTTTTTGAATGGGGCCAGACATGCACCAGGTCATCCAATAAACCCTTTGTCCATACGTCTGACGGTGACCTCCGGTGAGCTTCATACGCCAGTCGTTGGAGGTTTGGAATCAGGCAGGGTTTAGCCATCTCCCCTAGACTGTCTGTCATCCAATGGACAGTCAACCCGGTGAAGAGCGCCGGTCATCCGCTTTTGCCCTTTCACTTCGGTGAAAAAAAACAAACACCTCCGCCACGTGAAGGCACTGAGGACTGAGGACTTCCTCAGGAGAGACTATGTAAGACGCCCTGTCATATGGGAGCATTTCAAGAGGTGTACGGTGGGAGGAGTGGCCAACCCGCAGCGCAAGGCACCCACCGCCGACCATCCTGAGGCTTTGGAGGCAAAAATGTTCAGTACTTTATCAAGTTAGTGACTGGCTGAACAAGACAGTCAGTTAAGTGACTCTATGCTACATAGTGGGAATTTATTTACTGATTCTCCAGTGTTTCTCTTCCTCGAAATGAATCATTTATTTCGTTTCGGTGTGTTACGCGGTTTTTTGTTTTGTTTTCTTTCTTTTACTTCTCCTTCATCCACTTTCGTGTGCTTGTTTTTCTCACCCAAGGTGATTGATTCCTCGGCGTGTTTAACGCAACTGGAAGTTGACGCCTCAGATGATTCACTGATAGCCAGTGTTACAATGCCGTGTATAGAGGTTGGTACAGTTGGTGGAGGTACCCGACTGCCAGCACAACGTGCATGTCTTGACCTATTGGATTTAAGTGTGGATCGACCAACTGAACATTTGTCACGTTTGATTGCTGGAACTGTGCTTTCCGCAGAACTCAGTCTACTCGCAGCTTTGGATACAGCTGATTTGGTCAAAGCACATATGCATTTGAATCGGGCGAAGACGTCAACAACTACTCAGGTGCCTAACAACAACAACAACGCGAACACCATGAACAACAACAACAACAACGGTAATGGCACCAATGATAATCCTGATCCTGCTGCACCAGATCATCATCCTGTTGGAAATTGTCATTCAGACGTGCAGACAACTACTGGTCATTCAGCAGTTGTGGGAGTGCATGAGAAGCGATTCTCTGTTAAAAAAAGCGATCCAGCAATGATGAATTCAGAGATATCGCATTACATTATGTAAAGTTATACACACACACACACTATCAATACAATACAACATATTATGAAAGAGAGAGATAGAATGCGTTTTGTACACCCTGTCATATATATCTATCTATCTATGTATATTTGTAGATGAGATTAAATATTTTATAAATGACAAATTATCATTAGAATTAATTGTATTAGAATTGTAACCGCAGAAGACAAGGGCAAGGGCCGTGCAACAAATCAATCGATTATTAAGGAAATCAACAGATATTTATCGATTTTCATGTACATTATTATCGATTTATGTTGGATGGCTTTTGGATGGCTAGTGCCTCGGCTATGCCTAGATGTCTTAATTTTACTCCCTTTGATAAGTTTGATCGAATGATTTATATTATTTTGAAGGATTTCTCGAATAGCACTGATGAATGTCCCGAAATGACCAGATGTTCTGTCACTGAACTATGTACCCATGCTAGATAGTGTTCACGAGCGCGTTATTCAAGTTGGCGCATGGTACTCCGATGTAGTCAGCCAGAGAGCAAGTGAACTGGTATATATGCACGTTGAAGTGGCCCAATGCGACAGCTTGTCTTTCGCGTTCTGGCTGAACAGTTTTCTGCAGGAAAACGTTAGTCGTCGGCTCGTGGCGAAGTATGTTCTCTTCAGCGATATGGAGAAGCGTTTACGAAGGATTTTCGCTTCAGTGTCACCTTTGAATTCTAGATTAAGCAGAAGTTTCTTTGAAACGGATTGAACTTGTTCGGAAGTCTTGTTTGGTTTTCGGTTATTGTTTAGGGACCTAGGCGGAAAACCGTTCTCCATCAGGGTTCTTTGGAGATTACTCAGTTCTTCATCAATCACCTCCTCGCCGCATATCTTTCGAATCCTCGGGGGAAAGAGAGTATATCAGGTTCCCCTTTCTACTTAGGGGCACGAAGCTTTGGAATTTGATGAATTGTCCAGTCCATGTGGGCTTTTTGTATATGGACCATTTCAGAGAGTTGTTGGCGTTTCTTGTCAGATGGAAGTCGAGGAAGTGGAACAACATTTCGTCAGATTCGGCTTCAAGAGTAAAGTCGATGTTCTTTTGGTGGGCATTGTTGAATGTTTGAAGTAAGTTTTCAAGGTCCAGATTCTCATCACAAATGATGAAAGTATTATCAATGTATCTCTTGTAGAGATGAAGGTCGTTGATAGTTGATGATAAGGGGTTGTTTTCGAGTCTGGCCATAAAACAGTCGCCTAGGAGAGAGGTCCCAGTGGAGAGCCCATTGCTACGCCATCTGCTTGCCTGTAGATTTCATCGTGTTGAATCTGAAGTAGACGTTGAAGATACAACGTAGTAACAGCTGATTTAGATTTTCTGTTAAACAATGGCGATCCAGAAATGATGAATTCACAGATATCGCATTACATTATGTGAAGTTATACACACTCACTCACACACACACACAATCAATATAATACAACATATTATGAAAGAGAGAGAGCGTTTTGTACACCCTGTCGTATATGCACCTATGTATATGTATATGAAATGAAATATTTTATAGACATCAAATTATCATTCGAAGTAGTTTTAGTAGTATTGTAACCGCAGAAGACAAGGGCCAGTCAGCAGACTTCTACAATAGCGTTCCTAGGATTCCGAATGGACGAGTGACGACCAAGAGTCGACCAATCAGCAAAATGTAGAATTTTTGCATAAAATCTTACGTATATTTACATAAAAATGCATGAAACAAACATTGAACAGGATGTTTGTCTCCAATATGAGTTAAAAGTATGTCCCAATGATAATGGGGAGTTTCCTGTTTTTATATATTAGACCAATTCCTATACATGTATTCATCTAGGTGACTAAAAATCACTTGATTTTGAGGGAAGTTTATAGCTCTTATTCTATTCTGTGTTTTAGTCTTCACAGAAGTCTTCTATTGAATTAGTATGAGGACCGGTTGTGGGATCGACGAAGTCTTTTTTCGAACGGTTAACTCGGATAATCGCTTATATGCTGCCTATTCATCCATGTGTGAATGGTAGTGCCTGGCGCAAGACGAGTCTCTGAACAATAATAGGGAGGAGAGTTTCAGTGCCTGGAATAAGATCAATAAATAAATCCTTTTCTAATTTGGGTGTCTTAATTCCCCACTACCCAAACGTTATCTGGTCTAGCACGTCCCCGATTATATTTTTCCTAATATAAGGACCACCGTTTCGTCAATGTGAACGACAACGCTGACTCCTTCCAAAACTTGTGCAATACTGTTCCTTTTTGCATGACGCCAAATCTCGACAAAATTGGAACTATTGCACAATAGACGTCAAGGTATTATCTGTTTCAGCGGCAGTTGATCTCACATCGGACTTCAAAATCCAGTAATGTAGCATAGAAACAGTATATTCGTCAAGTAAGGTTTCGATTTTTGAAAGAAAGTTCCTAGAAGACTATTAACTGACAGTGTCACTTACCACTAAGAACACCCTTTTTCGTTTCCTACACTACCTACGTACATCTAAACTTTTATCCATCAATAATGACCTGGGAATAAGGTAGCAGATAAGGTAGCGGATACATAGGGCTAGTTTCGCATACGCCTACCAGTTTACACCGTCTCTGGCTTAGTAGACGTGATATCCGGCTGGCTATCGACAAAAGGGCGGGTGAACTGCCCAGCAGTCCGCTCCGTCCTCTTTTATGGCAAGCTGTCAAACCTGGTCTTCGGTCATGGGTGCCTGCGCTCTATCTCCCCTGTGGAGTGTTATAATAAGATGAGCAATATTGAGGTTAGGCGTTAGTCGAGTGAGTGCTAGGTAAGTAGAAGCGGAAATCAATCGATGAGGCTGTGAAATTACAACGACTGAGTGAGATGGTTAGGACATGTGTTACGCAGGCATGTCTGGTCATCGCCTTCCTCAACAATGGGCAATGTTAGCTGGCTGACATAGGATTGGCCAGCCTGGAAAAGAGCTAGCCGGTGACGGTCAAACCAAAACATGGCTTCACCAGTCAATGAATCCAAATCCACAACAGTTAGTTCAAGCCAGCCAGCCGCGTAGGAAGGTGTAGACTTCTTGAATGGTTTGGGTCCTCAGGACGGTAAAAACCACTGAATGATGGAAATAATTGGTGATATGGCTCAAATTCATCGTTCTCAATGCCTCGGGCAGATGGATTCACGCCTTGTGACTTATAATTTCCAGTGAAACCATATTGTTCTTCGTTCGTTATTACTATTCCTTTGTCTCACACCTGTTCACTGTCTCTCTATTATGCATTTCTTCTACTTTCTTCTCTTGCTTTGTGTGCTACATGGAGGGAGTGCGGCGACTTGAACTGGCGCACATTTGTGCAAAAATCTATGTCGAAAACAGATAGACAGACAGACAACAACAACAGAAAGAACACAACTATAACACTTACCTTTGTGTCACAGTAAATCCGTTCCCTTCTTCGTCATCGTCTTGGTATAATGTTCACCTCTTCTTTTAGATTATTCGCTTCCACTGGAAGCTTTTCCCTATCTGATCCGTAAGTAGGACATCACTCTGTCTGTACAGGTAGATCTAAGTTGAGCAACTCTGATCTAAGCGACTTATGCAATCTGATCCTCCCCACCCCCTGTCGTAAATTAGTAGCAGGACACACCAACGAAACAACAACAACAAAAGCCACAACCAAAGTTGCCTTCTTAACTCAAAATAAGGCTAAACAGCACGATGGGGTGGTAGACGCGGCCAGTGATGATGATCCCGTTGTCTGATGAATCAATCAAGATAGGAAGAACTTCTTCTTAGTTGTGTGCTCACTTGGGTTGTGCTCGGTCAAGAAAGTCATCCACTCAGAGCACTCAGATTATGCACATGATGAAGTATTATCAAATCGATAATTACTATTATTCTTATAATAGTTCAGTCGATTTAGTGAAGAGAAGATATTTATTATTATTATTATTTTGAGTTAATCGTCGCTGGTTTAAGTGTACATCTATCGAGTAATGAAAACAAGGGAAGCTCCATGTAACGAATCTACAGACGACGTATATTAGCGGTGATAAGAGTACTTTAGGTCGTGGAAAATACCTATGGGGACATCAGATGATCGAGAAGAACAAGAAGTTCATCAAAGATGACAATTTTTCGACGATTTCGTGTTCGAAAGCAGCTGTACAATCGCATTCATGTCGATTAGTTTACATGGATACAATTATTACTATTATTATTTGTTTAATTAATTCCACGTAGTAACGAAGGCGATAATTATTTTCAACTTGATATGAATCACAAGAGGCATAGAACGAATTACAGGTGTGAACAAAATGAGCATGGAAACAAATTGAAATGAAAATTTCCAATTTGGAATGTAAGTTAGAAGGTGTGTGTGTGTGTGTGTGTGTGTGAGTGAATATAGATTACAAGAGGCATAGAAACAAAGCAAAATTACACAGGATTAGAATATAATTGTAAAATGGTTATTCTAAACGAATTACAAATGTGTGATCAGGAGGAGCATGGAAACAAACTTCAAATAACTCATCTTATAACTGATACGGGAATGGGATGAATTGAATGAAGACAAAGAGAGAAAATTACACACACACACACACTGAGAACAAACCGAAAGAAACAAAACTGAAGAATAAGGGAAGATACCAAACATATCAAGTCCATGGTAGTTGTAGAGGCTGGACTAGTTTCTTTTGAACACACAACTCCGTCTTTTCGATGGATGCATATGGCGAGAGCTTCTGCAGTACAAGGAAGTCGGAAACACACTGACTGCCTTTGGTAGATTTTTGTTTACTTTGTAAATGATTCTAAATGATGAGTCAGTTGAGATTCTGTGAAAGATGTTTATCGACGAGGTGTTCAGTTATTGCGCTTCTGATTGAACCAGTGCCTCCTGTTTGCACAACCATGCTGGATGATGTTCTCTAACAAGTTTTAATAAGACCTGCATAGAACGACGACCTGTGTAAATAGCTCCGAAATAGGAGGTGAACTGATATATATATGCACACTGAAGTG